TGTAAGAAATTCAAAGAACTATGGAAATACTTGAATGAACCAATGCAATTAAGCATGCAGAATCAATATAGACCATCACCACAATAATGTAATTGAAAGGAAGTCAGATGGTGAGTAATTGTGATGACCAATCTTGGCCACAGAAAATGGATGAGAAAATTTGGTAGAATTGGGGGAACAAGAGGGAGGGAATATTGGATATACTATAAGAAATAGCCACTGTGTTGGTCCATTTTACTTAATTGTTTTTCAAAAGGGAGGGCCCATTAGATAAGTGTGTGTGGGAAATGAAAAAACATAATTATTTATTATTATTGTTTTTTAAAAAAAGATAAATGAAGGGGATTCTCTATCCACATCTAACTCTGGGTTTTGGGTTCAGGGTGGGAGTAGAGGGAAATAAGGAGGACAATCTTCATTTGGACCAAAGTAAATGCAAACGGAGACTAATAAACCCTGAATAATGGGTTACTAAAAACAGCTTGATGATTTCTACCCACTGGAATACACACCTTTTATTTGGCCCTTCGAAAAACTGGGCCTACTCAACCCAAGTTCACTGGTTTAGGATGAAGTCTGGGCAGTGTGATAAACCCAAGGATAAATGAAAAAGGCAGAAACATTGCTACCCACCAAACCACTAACCAGAGAGGCTGGCCTCCATTTGCTCACACCTGTAAACCACCTGGATAAAGAATAGTTAGTTTTTAGGTGTTCAACACCACCAGTCATTCAGAAATCTCAAAAGTGTGGTCACTTTAACCAAACCCACATAACAAAAGGAAAGAGAAGATTTATTTAAAAAACAACAATAACAAAAACGACTTAGAAAAGGATCTTGACCCAATCATTCTCTAGAAAAGTAAGATTTTAATATTAAAAAAATTCAACCCACAAGATTTTTTTAAATGACATTTGAATTGCATATGTCCAGAGGCCACTTTGGCCTCAGGACTTGGGAGATGTTGCAAGGGTGAAAATCTGAAAAAAAAAAAACAAAAAAAACAATCTGTAAAGTTGGTCCTAAGAGCAAATATGCTAAACAAGTGAACTACTGCAACTCAGCGGCCTCGGCTATTTCCAACCTGGCCTTCCTGAAGCCTTAGCTTTCATAGACTTATCCCAATGCTCATTTGTCAAATCCACAAGCCACTTTTTATCCAATGGGTCCACAAATGCACACACCATGCAGTCACAGGACTGATGATGTCAGGGGTGGTTTGGCATACACTTAGCACAAATGCACCCCTTTGCTAGGGTTTCCTATCGTGTTTTTTCCTTTTTTGGCAGGAGACACAAAACAACTCCATTTAGTGCTTGAAATTTTCCCCCCCACACAAAAAAGCATTAGGGTTCTGAGCAAAAGCAGTAAAAAAAAATTTAAGATGATGAATGAATAAATGAAAAAAGCTTATTAAGTGCTTGATAATTGATAAGTGTTGGGATAGGTTTTGGAGTCACAAATGCTGAAATGAGATAGATCTTGCCCTGAAGGGGCTTAACAAGATTAGATCCTGGGAAAACTACAATTTGGCTTCTTTTTCATGAACCTATGGGTTGTCAGACAACACAGTGGCAGCCTCTAAGCTGCCCGTGGTTGATGTTAGCATCAATGCTTGGAAGAGATGTTTTCTAAGTTTCCAAATTGACTATTTTGTGGTAGTTGGAGATGGGGTCAAGGGAACTGGGGTCAATTCTGGCTCTGCTACTAACTACTTGTGTGAATTTAAATCCATTAACTCTCTTGGAGCTCAGTTTCTTCATCTGTAATAGCAGGAGTTCAATGTGATGGTACATTCCGGCTCTAAACCCTTAGGTCCCAGGCTCTGAATAGTTTAAATTGTTGATTTAAAAAGCAAAAAAACAAAATAAAAGAAATTGAAAACAGACCTATGGAATGATAAGACTAGAATCTGAAGTCCCTGGTTATCAATCAAATTCCCTTTCCTTCAAAGATAGTGCACAATTCCTTTCATGGAATGACAGACATATCCTGTTGGTTTACAAAATCTGAAGCCATCACAGGAGAACAATATAAAGAAAGCTAATTTACAGATAGGGAAGCTAAGATGGGGAGAGGGCAAGCTCATTTATCTATTTATTCAATGAATATTTATTGAATACTTACTATGTTTTAGAAGTAGGGGTGATAGAAGGAAGACCAAAACATAGTTCCTGCCCTAAAGAAACTTCGAGTCTAGTAGTAAGGGGTGAAGATGCTCACAGATAATGTCAGTATAAATTACTATTTGATAGAAGTCTTATTAAGAGTGGTACATAATAGATTAGCAGTTTCATGTGCAATCATCTTTTAATACTACATTATGAAAATTCTTGTTTTATTTCATAAAACAAAATTAAAGAAAAAAAAAGAGTGTTATAGGCAGAATGCTCAGAGTTTAGAGCAGAAGAGCTCTCTAGCTCAGAAAAGCAATGAAAACCCTGTGTAAGAAGTGCCATTTGAAAAATGGCTAGAGTTTTAGTAGCGGGAGAGAGGATGAGGTAGGTTTGATTAAAAATGCAGAGCGAGTTGAGAGGGAATGGTTTTGGTTGGGGCTGTCTGAAAGGGTAATTTGTGGCCAGATCACAGAAGGCCCTGAGGAGCAGCCAAGGTATAGAGTTTGAACTTTTTTTTTTCAGTAGGACATAAAAAAGATAAAACATTTGGGTGTAGGGGAGTGACATAATCTATGTCTGAGGAAGATAAATGGTGGTACAATATAGGATCAATTTGAGGGGAAAGCACCTAGAGGCATTAACACCAGTTGTAATAGTTCAAAAGAAAAGGAACACAGCACTTACTAGCTGTGTGACCTTGGGCAAGTCACTTAACCCCGACTGCCTCATGAGAAAAAAAAAAAAAGGAACACGGAACTGGACTATGGTGATAGCTATGAGAACAAAGAAGACAGGATGGCTACGAGACCTATTACAAAGTTAGGATTAGATAAGACTTGGCAGAGATGGAATAGTCCTGAGGGAGGAAGAGATCATTCCGAGGTTTTCCATATAGGTGAAGGGAAAATAGCGGTATGATTAACAACAACAACAAAAAGAGTTAGGCTAAGTGACTTCCCTATGTTCCCGAAACAAGTTAACGATAGAGCTGGGATTGGAACCCAGGCTCCCAACCCAGGTCCTTGCCACTATACCATGCTGCCTCCTACAAAAAAAACATGACATTCTTGAGCATAAACACACACATGCATAACACTAGCTTCAGTTGTGCCTATTCTATATAATATTCTATCATAGTAAGTCTATGTAAAACTGCTTTCTGGAGCAAATTCACACATATTCCGGTATGGATTAGTGAAATGCTAAAAGTCAATCTTAGGAGGGATTTAAAAAGAAAATGTTAACCTGAAGCCAAAAAAAGGGGGAGGAAACAAATTAGGTGCTCGTCAGTTGGGAAATGGGTGAAAAAATTATGGTATATGAATGTAACGGGACATTCTTGTACAATAAGAATGACAAACACGAAGAATTAAGAGACTTGTATGAACTAATGCAAAGTAAGAACCAAGAAAGACAACACTTTGCTCAGGGACGTGAATGAAAGCAAACATAAGACATCAGAACTCCTATCAATGCAATGACCAATTCTGGCTCCAGAGGAATGATGAATGAAAGGGAGTAGTAGAGTATGGGCACCCAATGGTAGACACGGTCAAAGGTTCAGTTTGTTTTGCTTAATTGCACTTCTTTGTTACAAGGAAGGGAGATGGTTATTAAATGAAGATATCAATATAAAAAACGAAAGTATCAATGAAATTTTTTTTTGGAGGGGAGGAGAATCATACCAATGATTTTACTGGTATAGGGAACTCCAGGTGAAGAATTCCCTCTACTAATACAGGCCAGCAAGAGGAAGTTAAAGTCTTAGATAGTTGCCTGGGGGCACTACCAGATAACTGACCCTTGTCCAGGATCACAGTCAGCATGTGTCAGAAGCCCTTATATGAATTCAGGTCTTTCTCAGTCTCTCTAGTCAATATTCTATGCTGCCTCTATGTTAATAAAGCATTAAAAGACAAAAAAAAAATACTGATTAGTAGAAGCTATCAGGTCCCAAAACTGTCATCTGGCCTTAACATAATCTCTGAAATTCCCTTTTCATTCTATGGTTAGCTATCTCTCCTGCAAACAGGCTTTTCTGGTGTCTCTAATCTAAGGTACTTGCTGGATGGTGCAGGAGAATGGCAGAAGCACTTATGTGCTGTTCTTGAGGTAATGAGGATCTGATGTGTAAACACATTTACTTTGCTTTCCCGCCCAGTTCTTATCCCACCCCCACTCCTGAAACTGAAACTCCCCGGCCTACATACCTCACCAAACTCCACCTAGTTCTAGGAACCAACCTTTGGCTGCTTATATTTTATTCCTCTGGATTACTTGACAAAGCCATTCTCTCAAAAACCGTGTTGGGCTAACATTAACCCATTGATGATATTTGGGTTGCATCTGACAACAGAGGGCTGTTGTACTGAATTAACTTCTGAGAAATTTCTACTTTGCTGCCAAGTTTAACCTGTTCAACAGGTTGTGGCTAGCCTTGTTCCCCTACTTCCCTCCGAGGTTACTCACCGAACTGTGTTCCTGTCCCCCTCACCCCAGCTCTTCTCCCCTCTGCCCCCTACTCCCTTCCCTGTTAGCCACTGTGACCAGTCTTTTTCCCGTGCCTCCCTCCTGCAGGTTACTCTGGTTGACCAGCTCGCTCCCCTGCTACTCTCCGTTGCTTAATATATGTGTCCATCTTATATTCTCATGACACTTCCTATCCAGAAGCTTTTAAAATGACCAGCCACTGAAATAATTTCCTGGGTTGCCAATAAACTGACCAATCTGTGCTCTTCTTGGGAAAGAGTAAGGGAATCACTTTCAATTCTTTTAAATTCTGCTCTTTTAATCCACTCGCCCGAGGCTCTGATTTTAGGTAACCCTTAGGTCTGCAGTTTTTCAGTAACAAGTTAGGGATTCCTCTGTGTCTCCAGTCTCACCTGTTGAAGCATCTCTTCAGCAGCATTGAGTTTCACCTGGTGCCCTTCCAGGCAGATTTCTAAGTCCCGGATCTTCTCACCCTGGACCTCCACCTGGTCAGTCAGGACACTCACCTAGAGTGGGGGGACCAACAAAATCAGACTGTGAAATAATCAACTAACTGATTTTCACATCAATCACAATTTGGTGGTCCCACAATGACGTGGTCCCAGTAACTAGAACATTTAGAGTCTGCTGACGAAAAAGGGGAAAAAGTCTGCTTCTTACCTCACCAGAAGTGCTCTGACATCTCCCGGGAGAAAACTACTCATTTGGCTTCTAAGTGAAGAGCCCGAGAAGAAATCAGACTCCATATGAGGTCAATAATATTCCTCGTACTGGAGTGGAAAGCAGAGCAGGTAAGACGGCACACAGCCGATATCTGCCCATGGCAAAAACACATAGCCCTATCTGAGCTAGCTACCCAGCCAGCCTACCACTTGAAGGGAGAAGATGGGGGAAAAAAACTCTGCTAGAAACTAACCAATGACCTTCCACCTCTCATGAAGGGATAAGAACCACTAACCTATCAGACAAGCTTTTGGAAGCAATTAAAGAATGTGGATGTAAAGGGCATGTGTTAACACTGACAACAGTTGGCTCCAGAAAGGTTTCCAGGGTCTACGTGCCAAAACATGACTGTAAGAAACTGGCACCCAGGAGAGGCTTTGCATGATGGCAGCGAAAATCCAGTCACCTTTCTAAAGAACTTCAAAAAATCTACTAGAGATTTTAACTAATGGGAAGTACTGGCAGTCCACGAGCTGACTTATGCCAGAAAACAACCTTATGTTGCAGGTAACCATTTCCGTGGCACTCTCTACTAGCTCTGTCTTATGATAATTTTTGTTTAAGATATCTCAAAGAAATCCCACACCGTCTGTCACCAAAAGATTAAGCAACTTGCCTGAAGCCAACCTGTACTATATGCCTCAGCAGTCTACACATGTGTGTTCACTGTCCCAACACATTTTAGACCACTGAGCTCAGACTCAATGCTACTTTTAAACAATTCTATGTTCTTGGATTTTAGAAAATGCTTTCTAAGATTTTCTTGGAGCTTCGGACTAGGAAACGATGCTTCAAAACCATTTTATTCTAAAAGAGGCTCCTTCTGTAAGCTAAGTTTATGTGAAACATACGTCTTTGAGAATGCTTGTCCATACCATAAATCACCATTACTGGTTTTGGTCTTTTCAACTCAGAACCTATCCAAAGTGCTTCCATCTCTGCGTGAGCAGCCAAAAAGTTCAAAGCTAAATATAGTACTCTAGTAACTGATCCCAGGTGTCTGTTAATATTCAGTTCTCTATGCCTTTTAACTGGACATTATTCCATTTTAATTTTTAATTGTCTCTTTTACATGTGGTTTTTAAAAGTTACATCAATTGTGTTTTAAAAGTAGTACCCAACCCACAACCCTACCAAACAAAGAAACATTCACCAAAACAAAGAAAATGCATCCCCTCATAGCATCATATTAAAAAAAGTTTGGTACTTTAAAGAATACAAAACAATACACTGGCATCTTCTTTTAGAGTATATTCTCTCTGGGTTCTGTGTCTGTTAGAAAACACTTTATATGGTCCAATATATTTCTTTAATTAACATTATAGGCCATAGATTTAGAAATGGAAGGGATCTTAAAGGTCTAAAAGGCCTCCATTTTTACAAATAAAGAAACTGAGCCCTAAACAAATCAAGTGACTTTCCCAAGGTCACACAGACAGCAAATGGAAGAGGTGGAATTTATATTCAGCTCCCCACTCCAAATCCAGTATTTTTTCTGCTTTCTGTACTGTATGATACCTTGCTTTTACTTCACATGTTAGCTCCTTGAGCAATGTGCCTATTTTTCATTCTTTATCTGTATCCCTAGCTCTATAACTTCAACCCACTATGTATCTCATGATATACACCCATTTCTCATTTCACAATGGGTCAGTAAAAGCCAGGGATTCTACCAAGCACATGTCAGGTGGTAGTCCCATGATGACCACCATGCCTTCAAGTCAAGGGAATGAAGCCCCATTTCCATCCAATTTGTGGGCATATTTGGAACAAAAGTAGGCTTTTTTTGGTGTGGCATCTCCAGGCATCTTTTCTTTCCAAACAATATTTATCCATCTCTTAGATGAGATAACAAAATCTCTATTAACAATGGGATGTGGATTTTCTGAACAACTGAGGGGGTATCTAGAAAGGATAAAGATGTATAATAACTCAGCTGTCTATCTAGAGGAAACCTGTGAACTGCATAATTCAAATATTATAATCTCTATTTTACAGAAGAGGAAACTAACTCAGAGAAGCTAGGTTATTTTCCCAGGGTCATACAAGTGCTGGAGCCAAATTCAAACTCATGTCTCTCCTGCCTCCATGTCCAGTGTCCCAGAAATTCCTTCTTGTTGAAAAACCACTTCTGCTTTTCTGCCTTAACTGGTATAGGGCAGGGACCATAACAACATATTTCCACACTGCCTAAGCATCTTTTGGGGACCCAGAGTCCCTTGATTCTCACTGCCCAGGACCATGAAGGAACAAACAGAATGTGTTGGAGAGATACAGTTGAACTGGAACAAATATGTCCTTTGTTTTGGTCTCTGGCCTGAAGTTAACTCAGAAAATTCAATCCAAGAGATATTCATTAAGTGCCTATTACGTGTGGGCAAGGCACTGTGCTCCAGACTGGGTATAAGACGGTAAAAACTGACCCAGTCTCTGTCCCCAAGGAGCTGAAATCTATTCAGAACAATTGGGCATGTACATAAACAATTACGGGGCAAAGCACAATGTGTCTGGAAAAAAAGGGAAGATGTAAAGTGCAGAGGGAAATGTGAGGAACAGAAGAGTTACTTCCAGTTTGGAGTGTGAAGACAGACAGATCAGAGAAACTTTCATGGAGGAGGTGGCAGCTGGATTGGGGTGAGAAGTCTGAGACAGACAAGATGAGCAGAGCTTGGATTCTAGGAACTTAGAAAAGGTCTGCTTAAATGCACCAATGAGAATATAGTAGTAGTAGCAGCAGCAGCACTACTAATGATAAACAGTAATAATGATGATGATAGCTAGCATTTACATAGCACCTACCATATGCCAGGCACTGTGCTAAGCACTTTACAAATATCTTATTTGATCATCACAACAGCCCTGAGAAGTAGGTGATGTTATTATCTCTGTTTTGCAGTTGAGGAAACTGAGGCAAAAAGAGGTTAAGTGACTTGCCCAAGTTCACACGGCTAGTCTAAGCCTGGATTTGAACTCAGGTCCTCCTAACTCTAGGCCCTATACTCTATCTAATGTACCACCCAGCTGCCTGATAGGGTATACAGGGCTACAGCTAGAAAATGCCAGCTGGACATATAGGGGAGTGACGTGTAATGAATCTACAAGAATAGGCCAGATCCAGTCTGGGGAGTTTTAAGAGCCATCGCAGTAGTTTGCATGAGAAAATTATATATATATATATATGAAAGAAAGGTTGAGAAAGGGCAGAGAAGGGAGGCCAGGTGGGTATGCTCTGGAGGTAGACTCAAAAAAGCCTTAGCAACTGATTACAGTGTATGTGTGTGTGTGTGTGTGTGTGTGTGTGTGTGTGTGTGTGTGAGTGATTCCAAAAGTGAATTGGAAATACAGAATTGAGGCCCACACAAAGAAGAGACTGGAACTGTAAGTTTTCAGTAGAATGTAAGCTCCTTGAAGGCAGAAGCTATTTGAGATTTTGTGTTTGCAACCCTAGCACACAGCACAGTGCCCTGCACATATTACACAAATGATAAATGTCTGTTAAATTTAATTAAATTGAATCTGTCTAGAAGTGACCACTGAAGCCTGGAAGAGATGAGCACCCACGCCAAAGACAGAATCTTGGCAGGGTTGGAATGGGGGTGGGGGAGCAGGGGCACATCTACCTCTGCTTTAGGGAGGAGGCAGAAAGATGAACCAGAAAAGGATATTGAGAAGGACAAGTAAGACAGGTAGGAGAACTGTGACCCTCGGCTGTCACTTAAGCTCTTCCAGACTCAGTTTCCTCAGCTGTAAAATGAGGATAATAGTAACACCAGGTCATTGTGAGGATCGAATGAGATAACATGCCAAGACCCATAGAAAGCCCTTTGCAAACTTTGAAGCACTATCTGGAGGGTAGCTATTATTAAAGAGAGCAGCTTTAATAAAGTGCTAGGCTTGGGAGCCAGAACAGAAGAGACTGTGGGTGGTGAGGAAGCAGAGATAAAGAGCAAAGGCTGACCTTTCTAGATCCTGAAGAGTAGGGACGGGGTGTAGAATTGGGGGCTTGAAGAGCAAGTCGGTAAGTGCTGCTGTGGGAAGCGTGATGGGAGTCAATCAGGGAGGAACAAAAGGACTGCAGTGCATGAGTGAAGGCCCAGCTTCGGTTCATTGACGCAGCAGAGCAGCAACATGGCAGAGTGGACAAGGTTGGAATTAGAGTCTGGAGGACTCCTCCGCTGGCCCTGCCTAGCTGTATGACCATGGCCAAAGCCTCCATTTCCTCAGCTATAAAATACAACTAATAATACTTGCACGCTCAACCTCGGAACCCAGCATGGTCTAATGCATTAAATATATTGCTCTTGAAATGAGAGGATGTCTATAAAGTGCTTATAATACTTTGAAGTGCTATTTTAACACCAGTTATTATTATTATTATTATTACTATTGTCATCATCATTATTATAGATTTGCAGTGGACTCAGCTATGACTTCCTCTACTGGGTGCTGCCTCTCTGGAGAAGGAAAGGAGAAGGCACATGTGCCCTCGGCTGGGAATCAAAAGGGTGAGAGGGGCCAGACGACAAGGGGGTAGGGGATTCGTGGGTTGCGGCAATGCAACAATAGGGTCAAAGGAACGAAAGGGCAGTGGTGAGGCCCAAACAGAGCTGATGACCTGGGAGGCCAGGGAGGGATGGAGGGACTGGAGCAATGGGGGCCAACAGCAGGTTCAGCAAAGGCAGGAGATTGTGATCAGAGAGGGAAGTTTCAGGTGATGGTGAAGCTGAAGGCGTGACCAGCTCTGTGGGGAGCTGAGCCCGAGTGGAGGCTGATCTAGGTCACAGGAGCCAAGCAGGTTGAGCGGGTAGGAGGCCCAGGGCTGTGAATGTGGGGTGGTAGAAAAAGGGCTGGATCTGGTGCCGGAGGGCCTGGGTTCAAATTCTGTCTTAGTCACTTACTACCTGAATGTCCTTGGGCACACTGCATAACCCGTCTTGGCCTCAGGCTTCTCATTTAGTAAATGAGAAGATTGGACAAGATGACCTCTAAAGTCTTCTCTAGATCTAAGGCCATGATACTATGATCCTATAGCCTTGGATTTGAATCCTGGATCTCTTACTATGGGTAAATCACAACTTCTTTGGGCCTCAGTTTACTCTGCTGTGTAGATGGGGGCGGAGAAAGAAGAGGATGAACTAGAGCTAAGTGGCACGGTAGACAGCACGTGAGATTTGGTTTAAAGACCCTTACTAGCTGTGTGACCCTGGGCAAGTCACTTGACCAATCTTGGCCTCAGTTTCCTCATCTGTAAAAAATGAGAATAATAGCACCTACCTTATAGGGTTGTTGTGGGGGTCAAATGAGTTAACACATGTAAAGTGCTTTACTCTTAAAGCCCCATAAAATGCTACTATCATCACCTTCATTGGGGAGGGCTGAATGGGATGCCAGTTTTTCCCACCTCAAAGTCTTATCAACTTAGGACAGGGGGTGGGTGAATAGAAAGGCTCTGAGGCAAGTGCTAAAGTCACGTAAAGAAAGTTGGAGGGGACTGGGGAGGTCTGTGGACAACGGCACCAAGGATCCAACGGGGTCAACGGCACCAAAGGAAAGGCAGGTGAGGCCAAGCAAGAGTCTGGAGCTTGCAGGAGGCAGGGATGATTGTATCTCCTCTTCCTAACCCTCTGATGTGGGCGAGGAGGTGGAAGACGAGGATGGATCCAGCAGCCAGCCGTAGAGAGGGTGGCAACGGAAACGGAGCCCTCACCACCCCCGAAAGCCTGACTTCAGTTAGGCCCAGGAAACAGAAGGAATGGAAGAGATCAGGGAACTTAGTAAGAGTACACTGGGGATCCTCATGGGCATGGTGGAAGCTGGAGCTGGGGAAGAAGAGGGACTGGGGAGAGCCACAGTGGAGTGAGAGGGAAAGGAGCAAACAGTAAGAGCCACCAGCTTGGTAGGTTGTGTTTTTCACATTCCACATATGAATGAAGGCAAGAAAATGTTCTGGTAAACTGAGGCTTCCCCACAAGTGGATTCTGGTTTCATTATTTATGGTGTGTTAAGAGTGGAGAATTTTAAAGTGATTGTTGATAAAATCAAAATAAATTAATTAAAAAAAAAGAGGAAGAATTTTAAAGAAATGCATGAGAGGAGAGAGAAAAGAAGAAAAAAAGAAAGGGAGGAAAGAAAAAGAAAGGAGGAGACAAACATCGAGTAAGGCAGAGAGAGTGAAACAGACAGAGAAAGAGAGAGGGAGGGAGAGATGGAGAAAGGGAAGGAGACAGAGTCAGAGGAAAGAGATGGCCCTTTTCTCCAAATACTATTTATCATCATGTCAGCTACCAGAACCAAGTCCTGCTGCAGATATCTGCAATTACTGTAATTGTAGCTGCAAAGCTCTCGGGCCCAAATGAAGAGCACGCACAGCACTTAGCACACTCAGCGTGGAGCACAGCCTTCGCTCAGAGGAGAACCAAGTGTGGAGAGAAGAAAGAGCAGGGAGGTTCTTTTTCCACAGAATAGTTACCATTGCGTGGTAATTAAATAAATCTGGGTCAGGAGAACAGAAGGTAAAAGATTTTGAGGAGGGTAAGCGGCTTTGCCAGGGTTGTTCTTTTAAAAAACTAAACTAAACTAAAGAGAAAAACCCCTCTGGACTCTATTTTTTTTAGCCCCACAAGTAAAGAAACCTGAGCTTTTTGAATTCGCTGACACTTCAGAGAGCTTTATAGACTGAAGATACTACACGCCACGTGCACTCTCTGTCACTGGGGAGGGGATCTGATTACTCCTGCTTCTGGTCTCCACCAGGTCTGTGGAGGAGAATGTGGGTGCCAGGCATTCAAAATCCAGCAGGGCTTGTCCGTGCTGTCTGTTTTATTTTGTGACCATTTTCTTTAACTTTCTCTCTCTCTCTGTCTCTCTGCTCCAAAGGCCCCAAGGCAAGGGCCACTGTGGTCTATCACAAACAATGCTACACCTAAAAAGTCAAGAGAGACCTGGTTTCCAGTCCCATCACTCATGTCTACACGCATTAGGACTGCAGGAAAGTCTCTGAATCTGTTTCCTTATCTGTAAAATAGGTACAAGAGTACTTGCAATATTTGCCTCACAGCATGGTGGGTAGAAAACAACTTTGCAAATCTTAAAGCAATCTATGCAAGTTGCTGTTAATGTTCTTATTATCTCCCTGAGTGCCCCGGATGCCAGCAATACTGGGTCACACCTGCAAAGGGAGAGAGGGATAAGTGGTAACAGTGTGGGAAGGACATACCTGTAACATAAGAGATTCCTTGTCACCTTCTAATCTGGCCAAGCGTTCCTGGTAGGTTTCATTTGTAACTGCAGCTGGGTGGTTTACCTGGGACTAAAGAAAAAAAACAAAACCTTTAAAAGACTAGAGAAAGAAATCCATTTCCCAAATAACTGATTTGTGATGAATTATCAGTCAGAAGATGTGAGAAACCACTCAGAGAAAAGGAAACCACAAGATTTCAAAATTCTTCACAACAATAGTGATGAACAGACAACATGCCACTCAAAGGTGTGTTTTAAGAGCCTGGCCAAAAAAAAAAAGGCACTTTGCCAAACCATCCAGGGGTGACCTCATCCCAGCCCTTGCAAACTCCTCTGAGAGGGAAAGGCAGCTCTGAATGAACCTGACATGTTGAGTCTGGTTTGCCCCTGGGCACCATCTCCCAGGCCGCCCACAGCAGGAAGAAGTGCCTTCTTTCTTCCAGAAGTCAAAGATAATAGGAGACCACTGGACAATGACCTTTCTGTAATTGCAGCCCTGCTTCCATGCCCAGCACTACAGGTTCCCCATCCCCCTAGCCTGAACCTAGACTTGAATGGGCTTGTCCATGGCTGGTCCAGAGCAGAGAGAGAGGGATGTCAGCAGGAGCTATCAGGCTCTGACTCCCACTTCCCTGAATCAGCACCTTGACCTTGGAGGGTGTGTTTCTAACAGAACAATTCTTACGTGAGGGAGGGGACTGAGCTGGAACTAGTCCTCTTGTCATACTCCAAACTATAGTGGTTGGTCCACCAATGACCCCTTTCCCAAACGTCATCAACCCACAGTAACGATTGCTCATGTATGTGTAGGATGTTGGCAGTGCAGTGCATGGAGGAAAACTTGCATTGGAAACCTACCTCAGATGCTTGCCAAAGTTGTTTGACCCTGGGCGAGCCACTTACCCTCTCTCAGCTTTGGCTAGTCATCTGTAAAATGGGTACAATAGTATCCACTTAACAGGGCTGTTGTGAGGATCAAACAAGATAAAATATGTAGAACACTTTGCAAATCCTTAAATAGCAATATATAAATGGTAGCTATGATTATTTTTATGAGAGTTATGATTATTAGTCAGAGAAGCATTAGAAGACTTACATGAACAAATGCAAAGTGAAATAAGAACCAGGAAAACAATACACACAATGCTATAACAAGATAAGTGGAAAAAAAAAAGGAAAAAAGCAACAAATCAAAACTGAATCCTGCAAAATTCTAATGACCAAGCTTGTCCCCAAAGAAGAGATATGAAAATGCCCCATTCTCCCTTCATTGCAGGGCTAGGGGAAAATGAGTATGGATCACTGTCAGACCTTTCTGTTGGTTAGTTTTACTGAACATTTTCTGTTTCTTTTTTTAGCCTTTTTATATAAGGGATGGCTTTCTGGGAAAAGGAGTCGGGTAGAATACAGTGGAAAAAGAAAAGGAAAAAAATTCCAATAAATATTTATTTTTAAAAATCATAACTTGGCAATTGTTAGGGATTCCCTGTCCCAAAAACTTGTTCACAGGACTTTTCTCAAGAGACACAATCTAGTAAGTCAGGGAATGGGACTGAAGAGAACCTTAACGAGAGATCTATGGAAGTGGGAGGGATCCCCAGTACCCCTAAACTGTACTATTATTTTGACATTCGGTAGGCCCTACAAAGTGGTACTAATTGTTGTTTGCTCATTTTCAGTATTATAGAGTTCTAAACCATCACAGCTATCAGGAGTAACAGAAAAAAATAAGATCCAGCACTCCACGTTGGATGAAGCTGCCCCCATCATCTAATTCGATCCTCACAACAACCCTACTGAGGCAGGTACTATGCATGTGATAATAATAATGACAGCTATTGGGGGCAGCTAGGTGGAGCAGTGGATAGAGCACTGGCCCTAGAGTCAGAAGAATCTGAGTTCAAATTCAGCCTCAGAAACTTATTAGCTATGTGACCCTAGACAAGTCACTTAACCCCAACTGCCTCAAAAAAAAAATAGCTAGCAATTGTATAGCAAGTTATGATTGGCAAACATTTTACATATTTTAACTCATTTGATCCTCATGACAATCCTGAAAGGGAAGTGCTATTATTATGCCCATTTTGCAGATTAGAAAATAGAGGCACACAGAGATTAAATGACCTGCTCAGGGCCATACAGATAGTATGTATCTGAATCAGTATTTGAACTCAGATCTACCTGATTCCAGGTCCTACATTCTCTCCACTGTACCACAGAATAGCCTCATAATAACCGATAACATTATTATTATTCTTATAATTTACAGAAGAGGAAAACTAGAACCTTGAGAAACTAAATGCTGCTAATAAGCAGCAGAAGCAGGATTCTAACCCAGGTCTTCCTGATCCCAGCAGGAAAGTGATTGACACAGAGTTCCAAAGTGATTTAATAGCAGACCCTAGACACAAACCCTGATCTCCAGTCTTCTAAGGCAGTGTTCTGTTCACAATAGCCCCACATGACCTGTCTGTCCTCTGTAACAAATTTGGACATAGTGCGTGCCTTTTTTTTTTTTTAATTTGAGAAAACCACGTTTTGCATGACTGCACATGTATAATCTATATCATATTGTTTGCCTTCTCAAAGGAGGGAGCGAATTTTTAACTCAAAATTAAAAAAAAAAGCCAATGTTAAAAATTTTTGTTCAGAAGTAATTGAGAAAAAGAATGGGGGGGGGAGAAGAACTGAAATGAATTTCTGGAAGATATATTTGTTTGCATCCTGTACTTTAGTCTTTAAATCAGTAAGTATCCTTGTTCTGTCTTTTAACTGATTTGAACTAGAGTAATTTCAGACCACATTATTTCCATAACCTGAAAAAGGAAACTCAGATTAATCTTCTTAGTAAGGAGTTTATTAGATAGTTTAGCTGCTGAGGAATTACCCATCCCTGCCTATGGAAGGGCGGAAGTTCTAGGGGCACAATTGAAATATGGCAGTCAAGGGGGATGGGCAAATTCTGAACTTTGTAACTTTCTCTGAACATTGCAATCAACAAACACAGGAACCAAAAAAAAAAAAAAAATACAGGAGCAAACGTCATTCACACTCTCTGCCAGAGAGAAAACATTAATTATGAAGGAAGGAAGAGCTTTGAGGTCAAATCAGAACATTCTACAAGTCCTACCACTGTTGAACATTCCATTATGGAGAGCTGTTATTAGCTGTGTGACCCTGAGCAAGACACCTAAAGTCTGCATTTGCTTTCCTAAACTGGGGGGCAGGGGGGTGGGCATAATAGCACCAACTTCTCAGAGTAGTTGTGCAGATCAAACAAAATATTTGTAAAACCTTACAGTGCCAGGCACATAGTAGGTCCATTCATCCACCCATCCATCCATCCATCGATCCTTCCTTCCAAATGTTCATAGGCTCTCTGAATCGGAAGGGCCCTTACATGCTATCTGACTTGCACCTGTTGAAGAATCCTCTTTACCAGTGGTTCTCAAACTTCTTGGTCTTAGGATCCCTTTACGCTCTTTTCTGAGTACCATGGTTTAAAAAAGATATCAGTAAGCTGAACAGAACACGGTTTAGGACAGTGGAGGGCTTGGATCCCTGCCATATGAGGGTCGATGGAAGAAACTGGGCAAGAGACAACTCTGGGGGGCACATGATGGCTGCCTTCAAGTATTGACCGAGCTGTCATGTAGAGGATGGATTCTATTTGTTCATTTTCCCACCAGCTGCATTCCTTGGACTGGATTCCCCCATGACTGTGCTCCCAGGAAACCTCCTCAGCAGCAAACTCGTCACCCTGAGACGCTGCATTAGCAACCAACCAGGAGTAGCGGGCACAAGTCGGAAAGAGGCTTCTTTAGGCTTGATGTCAGGAAAAACTCCCTAACAATTAGAGCTATGTGAAAGTGGAAGGAAAGTCTTGGGGGGTGCTGGGGATATCCCTTCTTGGCAGCTGGGTGGCACAGTGGAGATAGCACCAGACTTGGGAGTCAGGAAGGCTTGAGTTTGAATTCTGTCTCAGATGCTTGGGTGACCCTGGGCAAATTACTGAACTTCTATGTGCTCACCACAAAGAAGGTGCTGTGCTCTCTGAGCAAAGCAGAATCACAGCAGCACAAAGGAAATGTGAGATACTCAAATCTAAAGAGATCTCCAAACCAAATGTTCAAATGGGCTCTCTGTGCCCCGCCTGTCCAAGCCTGTATTGGACTGATCAGTCACAGTTGAAAACACTGCACCTTGACCCCGACATCATGATGGCACCGGTCCTTTCAAGCAAGATGGACAAACAACAAACAGCGGCAGCAGCCTCAGTTTCCTCATTTTTAAAGTGGGGATAATCATTGTACCTACCTAGCAGGGTTGTTATAAGGATCAAACAAGGTAAGACATCTAAAAGGTTTTGCAAACCTCAAGGTGCTGTTTAAATGCTATCTTCATCATTATCTTTCAGCAGAGTCCAGATGATTATTTGTTGGCTATGTTACAGTGGGGATTCCTCTCCTGTGTGGGTAGGACACTGAGGCTCTTTTCTTAATTCTCCAATTCTGAGATTCTGTGATTACACCAGGGTGATCTCAGGCTGGTATGATCTTCTCAGGTCCCTCATCGCTCTGCCCCTGGTCTAGAAGCTCGGTGATGTCATCTTTGGGTGAAATGCTTCAGTTTACATGGTGACTGGGGGCCAACCAGAACCCTGACCTCGTAAGAACAGCACAAGGATACTGATCCCCAGGTATCTCCAGAAAATTAACTAGGTGGGGGCAGCTAGGTGGTTCAGTCAATAGAGCTCTGGCCTTGGAGTCAAGAGGACCTGAGTTCAAATCCAGCCTCAGACACTTAACACTCACTAGCTGTGTGACCTTGGGCAAGTCACTTAACCCCAATCGCCTCACCAAAAAAAAAAAAAGAAAGAAAAAAGAAAATTAACTAGGTGGGATGAAGGTGGGGCCATCTGAGGCCACTCCCCCAGAAATTCCATGGGTATTCCTCTACTCCCAGGCTTCAGACTCAATTTCAACTCTAAGCAAGTGGAAAGGCTGATGTACCACTTAGCCTCGAATAGCACAACAGGCCTCAAATTCTTCAGTGACCGTGTAATGGATT